GGGGCCCTTGCCGGCAGGGCGAAAGGCGGGGCCCGTGTCAGAGCGGTTTGAGGTTCAGACCGTGCCTGGGTGAGCTCCAGCAGGGACCCCTGACGCCGGGCAGGGAGCGTGTGCGCAGGGGCACTTCGTGGGCAGGCTCAGCACGAAACTTGAAGAGGAATTGCGTTTGGAGTGAGAAGTTTTAAAATCTCGGGGTAATTTGCCTTTAACTCGTTCAGACACTCGTCCTAGCTCTGGTGGAGCAAGGAACGCTTCCTGAATCCAGACTTGGCCAGAGGCCCACTGGAAACCACATGCTCGTGAGAGGTTGTCCTTAGGACAGTCTGGAGACCAAGCTGGGCTCGGTGCAGCGTGGGGACTGTGCTGTGAAGTCATTGTGCTTGAGCAGCCCTGAGTGAATGGTGATTGTGGAACAAAGCAGAGAACTACTTTGGGGTTCACATCCAATTAGGAAGCAAGTTTAAGGTCTTGCAGCAGATTATGGGATTGCAGTTAGATTCACTTGCTTGTTTCTTACTGGAAGGCTGGTGCCTGAATTGTTTTGGACAAAACAGGGTGATTTTTTTAAACACTGAGATTATGGCAGCAACCGTCAGTGGCATCTGTCTGGTGGAGGTCCAAGGAAGATCTGATGCCTTAGAACATGGAGAAAGTTTGTGATTTATTTTCAGGTCAACTGTTGCTATTCAAGAAAGATAATTTACCAACTTTGCTACTCTTTCGTGACTCAGCACTTTACAAAGAGATTGTTGTTGCAGAGCAGGAACAGAGTACCAAGCATGGTAAAAGGCCAAAGTATTTTGCAACCGCATGTTGCAAAGTCTAAGCCCCAAGGTCCATCCTCAAATCGTGCAGTTCCAGAAAAATGTAAACTTTTCCTTACCAGCACAAAAAGCCTCAACCCTTGGTCAGTCTGTGATGAGCAAGTGCACGTTATGTCGACACCTGGACTTTTTCCACTGACCCTTGCTCTGCTCTTTGGCTTCCCCAGGTGATTGCAGTGGAGCACTGAGGTGACATGGGCCAGCAGGGCACTGGCTGGGCTGATTTTTGTCAGCTCTACCTCTGCTTTGGGGAGAGGTCATGGAAGTTTGCTCCTTCTGCTAATGCTAGTCTGTAACTGTAGGTTGTTTCCCAGCCTCGATCCCATGTACTGAAGGTTAGAGTGCTTGTCCAGTCTGAGTGCCCTGGTGCGGTTCTCTCAGGTGGAGTGAAGTTGAGGCTGTCGTCTACTTCCTGAGCACCAGGGAATGAAGGTTTTCTTCAAGTACGGAAGGTTGAGAGCTCTTTCACTTGGTATAATGTTAACTCACACACATGTGGGAACTAGAAATGGAGTGCAGGTCATGGTCTTCCATATGTAGGGCCTGGTGAAGGGAGTTGGGATGTGGCAGTTCTTGAAATGCCTTGTTTATGCACCCCGTTGCTCTTCAGGCATACATCTGTCTAGGCCTCCAGCAGCTCTAGACTAGGTGCAAACTCAAAACCATCAAGACATAAAGAAGTCTTTCTTACCGAGCACATGCATGTCAGGAGAACTCTGTTGCAAGAGACCGAGGTGTCGGGGACACAGACATTGCCATGGCTGGGTGGAAGAAGGGCAGTGGTTTTGCAGAGCTGTATTTTGGACTGGGGCACCAGGTTTCTTCTGTGAGTCCAGCCCTGAGTAGAACGATGGCTGTTTGCTATAGACCCTATTGAAGATACCACCCAGCACAAAGGACTTAAGTGGAGAAGGCCATGGGTGCAGTCTCCCCTTTCACTGTTGTACTGTTCGTTCCTCTTCATTGATTGGAATTATGGCCAAAGTTTCCACTTCGTGGCTAAATTACGAACTGTGAGGTCTATCCAAGAATAGATAAGCCTGCCTGTCCACCGATGAAACCTTTGCTTAGTGATGAATCGCTCTGTCACACTGTCTTCCATTAAATCTGCTTAATTCTTCCGGGCCCCATTAGTGATAAAAGCACAGTGTTAGCTTTGTTTCCAGCACCAGGCAAGCTCGCATCAGCTGCTGAGATCACACTGCACTGGTTAGTGAAATTTGAAAGAACAAAGTGTTTCATCCCAGTGCCATCATCTGGTGCGCTGACTTCACTCCCCTGCTGCTAGGGTCACTGACCGGTTGTTTGGATTTGATTTTAAAGTTATGTGCTTAGGGCAAATAAGATATAAAGCCATGTTTAACTGTTGTTTGTAAAATTGGAATGGGTCTTAAGTCAGTGCGCATTATCTGTAATGCATGTATTACGATTTGTCCAGTGGTCAAAACAGAGGTAGCTGCCTATGGAAGTCAGTAGGCCTGGTGGAATATATTCTGGAATATATATTGCTGTTATAAGCTCATATTTGTACAGGCACAGGAGTACAGGGCTCTGAACTGTCACCATGAGAAAGGTGAAAGTAACGCTGGTGCCTCTGGGTTGGTGTTGTGGTGAAGCGATTCCTGTGAATCAGCTTATCTTCAAGACTGGTGTGACGTGGATGCTGTCACAAAGCCAAACACCTGCTGGAGAGGTTGCATCACTACAAGGCAAAAATGTATTTATTCAGGATTACCTTGCAGTTCTGCTTTGGCTGTAAAACTCCCATGAGCTCTTACAGCTATGTTAGTATTTTTAAAGATATGTATATGATTTAAACATATACATACAAGTTTAGGTGCTAACTACATTCTCTTATTCTTTTTTGAACTGTTGCATGTTCTGGTTATGTGTACGTTCTCTTTTTTTACACTAATCCACAGGAAACTTGGTTGCATCAAGCATATAGGCCTCGATTGACCTTTTACCCTCACATTCATCCAACTGTGTTGAGTAGTTTGGAGTGAAACATTTAAAATGCTAATCTAAAAAATGCTTCCTTCTGTGTAAGATCTTCATCTTGAATTTATCAGGAAACAAGAAGCCTGAGATCATGGCAGGGAAACCCAAGCTGCACTATTCCAATGGAAGGGGGAAGATGGAGTCAATCCGATGGCTGTTAGCAACAGCTGGGGTTGAGGTTTGTACCTTTTTTATGAAGTGATCAGATTAATCTGATTAAAATGTACTCTTTGGAAAGGTTTCCCAGTTACGTCTGTACTTAGAGATACGCACATCACATATTGTGGTGCAGAATGCTTAGATTCAGTGACACGCTCTCTTACGCTTTATTTAGTGTATTCCATGAACAATTAGTGCACAGTAAAAGGGTTTTAACATACAAAGAGAATTGTTAAGTGTAGTTTTTGAAACATACTTTAAGCTGAGATCTTAAATTATTGCTACACACCACAACTGTGCATCTCTGACTTAATTTGAATGTTCATGACTTCCCTGTGTCTCATGATTGCTCTCCACTGAAAGACCATGCCTACCACGTGAAAACCTTTAGAACACTATCTCCAAGCAAAATGCTTGTCATTCTTTGGGTCAGGATCCAAGTCAGATAAATCTGCAGAGCTGCCCTGAAGGCAGTAGGGAGCTATCCAGATTCACGTCAGGTGGAAACCATCCTAAGGAGTCTTAATTTCTACATTCAGTTTTTGTTTGAATTCGCTGCTTTGAAACTGTTTTCTCAGAAACTGTTTATTCTTTGTTGGAAATAAAAGGGTTTTTAATGGTGCTCACTTGAGAATGTTGCTAACAGAGAAGCTGCAGAGCACAAGTGCTGAGGAAACAATGATCTTGGCCTCATTAAAAAGTCCTTCTCATTAAAAAGAAAATAAAGATGCCGGTGGGGGAAAGAGGGACATAAATGGTGTGTGACATGCATAACTGATTAAAAAAATATCAATATTTCACGTTGCATCAGCTGCTTTTAAGTGAATGATTTGGTGTCTGTTCCAGGGATCAAAGGATTCCAGTTGGAGAAGGAATGTAAGCCACACACACACATACACCAAACTGCTAGGAAGTTTATTACAAGGTCTAAAATAGATGTAAAATTCAGGATATACCAAGAGAGAAAGAGAGATAACTAAAGGCTACCAAAAATAGATTAGACACAGATTCTTACCAACCCACACATTTGTTCAGTGACCAGGAGGCCAGCTCCGAGGTGCATTGTGTAGAAACGGGGTGTCAGGCACTACTTTTGCGGGCATCCCCGCGGAGGTAATGTCAACCATAAGAGGTAGTTGGATCCGCCTCCTTCTCAATCTTTCTCGAACCCCAGGCCTTTTATATGCCAAAAGTGCAGACTCATCCTGACGCAGGGGGCCAGCTGTGCACACTCATTCTAGACCCATCTAACACAGTGTCTATTAATTGTGCAGGCAAGTAGACTGCTCTTCATAATGAGGGAGCTTTTTTGAAGTGTAAAGCATTGTATGTTGCTGTGGGGTTGGGGACACTATCGTCCTGGATTATTTGCTGGAGCAGAGATGAGGAATAGGAGCAGGGGGCCAACACAGTCATGAGAGGTATGGGGAATAGTGTGGAGAGATGTAGTTTAACTTCCAGTCTTCCTTCCAGTTTTCCATGTTTTTTGAGTGACACAGTGTTGTGTTTTATCATTGTTTTTCAGTTTGAGGAACAATTCATAGAAAAGAAGGAAGACCTAGAAAAATTACGCAATGGTGAGTCTGTAAACAGTACCCTAGGCATACATTCACACCAATATAACAAAGGTGTAAGAGATGATATTTGTGTAACATCTCCAGTACAATGTAACCTATAAAATGAGGAGATGAGAGACCTGCTTGCTTGCGGATGCTTTCATCCCTCAGAATTGGAAGTGTCTTGATGTATTACCAGGTCTCTCTCAGATTCAGCATAGTAGTGAGTAGTTTGCTTCCTTGTCTTCCCAAGATGGATACCTGCTATTTCAGCAAGTGCCCATGGTGGAGATTGATGGGATGAAGATGGTGCAGACAAGAGCCATTGGCAGCTACATAGCAGCAAAGTACAACCTCTATGGGAAAGACCTGAAGGAGAGAGCCTGGTACAGTAACAGTGCATACTATCCTTACTAATACTCTTCCATAGCTTTTAATATGAGAAGAACAAGAAAGCAATTAAGTGTCTTCTGTTCACTAATAAGCATTCTACTTGGTGATTGCTGCAGCATTGTCTTTCAGGAGAATAATAAAAATGGACTGGTAAAATGAGAAATATGAAATAAAAATATTTGTTTCAGGATTGATATGTATGTGGAGGGAACAACAGACCTGATGGCAATGATTATGTATCTCCCTTTTCAACCAGCTGATGCAAGAGAAAAGAATCTTGCCTTAATCATTGAACGAGCTACAACCAGGTACTTTCCTGTTTACGAAAAGGTAAGTGCTAAAACACCGGTAGTCCACAAAGGCAGCCAAGTGGGGAACAGGTTCCCCGCCATCCCATTCCCCTGTCCCCACACACCTCCATTCCAGATGGCAAGTGACAGTCTAACTCTGGAACTGGAGAAGGAATTGGCTTCCAAAGTTGCAGACTGATGTTCTAGTTTTAGCACACATTTGTTAGCTGTTTAAGTGTAGCATTACAGTAGCATTGGCACAGGCACATTTCCTTCTCTTGCTCCTGCAACGTTCACCACAACTTGTCTGTTCCAGCAGTTGGTAGCTTCAGCAGGCTGTGATTCCTGCATCAGCAGTTTGCCATGAAAGAATCCTTCCATACAGGACTAAAGGTGGAAAGGCTGTGTTCCTTCATTCCTGACCTATTTCAAACTGTAATCAGCAAACTCAGATTTTGCTAAAACATCTGGGCATTCACTTAACTTTGGGGAAAAATAAATAAAAAAATAAATTGAAGTATGCTACTGGTAAAGTGTCCTGACTACCTCTTCCAGTTACTTTAGTCCTGTTTCTTTTGGATGATTTAAGTCTTTCCTGTGGTACTAGATTTGCTACAGCTACCTGCTGTGGTAGGTTAGAGTGAGCAATAGGTCCACACACACTGAAACGTGAGTTCTGGTATAACTTTTTGCCATGAGAATATCTATAACTTTCTAATGTTGTAGGTTCTTGCATGGATTTGCTCTCATGTGTTTTTGTAGAAATCCATCTGTAATGAATATCTAGATAAAACTGTTACATCCTAGAAGACTTTTTAAACTCGTTTGCATTTTGTAGGCCTTAAAAGACCATGGCCAGGATTATCTTGTTGGCAACAAATTAAGCTGGGCAGACGTCCACCTGCTGGAAGCTATTTTAATGGCAGAAGAATGTAAGCCTGATATACTGTCTGCATTCCCTCTGCTCCAGGTTAGTAATCATGGGATCTCAATATGGAATATGACAAACATGACAAATTTCACTGTCTGGTTTTAAAAGCTAATTGATGGTTAAATCTTTTGAACCATTGCACCATGTTACTGATAGTTCTCTGTCTATTTCTGTTGACTACAACAGTATGACTACAGGCACACTGCCTTGCCTCCTGGGGGCTCTCCTTTCTCCAGCTCGACTTGCCTGAGCTGTTCTCAGCTGGCAAGAATTCACTTACTAATGCTCCCAGTTTGGTCCTGTAACTGCTCTTTCCATGGCTTCAAACACAGCAATGAGCATCAGGAGGGGAAGTCTGCACCTGTTGTGTCTGCAGTTCCTGCCATTCTGCTAGCAAAACTATATTTTCAAGAAATTATACAAAGGAGCTGTTAAGTTGCTTATTTCTTGTCTTTCGTCGTGCTATGCATTGAGGATGAATCTTAACTCTTTAATATTATTTTTTTCCCATCCCCATTTAGGAAACTAAGGTAAACTTTGTAGCACCAGCATTGCAGATCAGAATACTCACACCTGGATTTTCCAAGGTGACTAGTATGTTGTAGATGTATTTTTGCCCTTTTTATTTTTCCGAATGGAAAATGCTGAGTGCTGAGCTGGCTACAAGGGGCTACGACCTTTCTGTGTTTAATAAAGCACGTCCAAGAAGTAAAAATCCTAGTTGCCTGATTTTTAACCTATAAAGGACAGAATTACAATTTCCTTACTCTCATTGCCTTTACTGCTGCTTTTTACAGGCTTTCAAAGGAAGAACAAGCAACATTCCAACAATCAAAAAATTCTTGCAGCCTGGCAGTCAGAGGAAGCCACCAACAGATGAGAAGGCTGTTGCCATGGTGAAGAAGATATACGATATGTAATCATGTGGCTGCTGCAGAAGATAATGCAACCGTAGTAGATGACCAGAGCCATGCTTTGCTAAGTGAAAATTGCATAGATGCATTCTGTAGTTTGCCTCATATAGACAGTGATGTGAGAATCATGGAAACAAAATGCGCTTCTAAGTTACAGAAAAAGGCTCGTTTGGATCTGTTTAGTCCAGAAAATAATATTTCGTGGAGCAGTTACTTGAAAAAAAGTAAACTGATACTTTGTGTTTCTTTGATTACAGTACATGCCTGGAAGGGGGAAACGTTTCAGCTATAGCTTCCAGAGTACTGCAGAAAGACTCCCCTCCCCCTGCCCTTCATAAACTGCAGGAGAGAAGAGCCCCTCCATAAAAATGGGGAAATCGTTTACACTCAGACCTACAGTCTTTTGGTTTTGCCCCATAGGTGGCTCCTAGATCGAAGTTCACTGTCTCCCTGCTGTATTTCATTTCTGTCCCTATACTTTCAGAGTTGCAGTTAAAAAAATAAATAAAAATAATAAAAATAAAACTCATGATCATTGTAAGTTTATGGGCAAAAGAAAGAAACTTGTTTAATCCCCACATAATCTCTTGGAAGTGATTTGTTCACTGAAAGATCGAAGTACTTGTGTTTAATTAGCCTGACGTGGTTTTAATCCATTGGAAGCACCTATTCCCTTGCTCTTCTTTTTGCTGCTTGGCTGGATGGTCACAGCAATGATCTGCCACTTGATGGGTTTTTTGGTAAGGTTTTACCTTCTTCAGACTCTTCCCAAGTAGTCGTACAGAGAACGGCACTGGCTGGTCACCCTTTCAGTAAAAGTTAGTTTTATCTCCTCAGTGCTTAAAGCATTCACTACTGCTTCAGATGCTTGATCCTGATTTCACGGGAACCATCGCTGTTTCCTTTATGAACAGTGCCATAAACTATTCTTTTTCCTTGCGGTTAGTTGCTTTTCTTCATAAGACTTGAACTGATGAGGCAGTGAAAACACATAACCACTGTACATAAAGAATTTTAACTGCCAGCAAAGTTAGCTCCTTTTCCAGCTTGTGCATAAGAGGCACATACTGCATCTCAGAGGCACAAACTGGAAATGCCTCAAGCACATAGGTACTGTTCAGATCAGCTGAGAGGTTTACGTTAAGATTACATTCTAGGTAGCCGGAAGCAGTAGTTTGCCATGCCCACCATAGTACTCAAGTTCCAAAAAAGCACTGTGATCGCTGAACCACCAACAGAGACTGGCATGGGACATCAGCTTTGCATTTTGTGAGTCCTCAGTCCCATAAGGACTTGCTAAGAAGTCTACTTGTTTGAGCTACTCAAGAATTTCAGCAAAAGCTTCTGGACTACGGTTGGGTTTGGACTTGCTTAGACATCTGAGCTGCTCCCTTGCCACCATCTAAGCTCCTGCCAAGAACACTAAGTTGGTATTCCGCTGGTGGATTTGTGCAGCATTAAGATCTGATACATAATAGTGTTTATAAGCAAGCTCTGCATGAAAAAGATGAAAAGAATCAAAATTTATCTTTGTTTTCAATAGTGCACCAGAAGATAGTCTTAGCTAAGCTTTGAGACCCAGGGAATATTTAATTATATTCTATGCAAACCAAAGCAACTTCAGTCCCTGACGAGTTTATATCTAAATAATCTCCTTTGTGTGTGTGTGTGAGCTTTAGCAAGATAATCTGTATAAGACAATTGGAGCAAACCTGTTAAAAGAGTACTGAGAGTGAGTTTACATCCTGTTTGTGCACGATGGTGATCCTTCCTCAGCCGTGGTTCATGCCAGTGGGAATTTACAGCATGGTACATTTTTAAACCATAGTGAGCATAAAGCAGGTCACTAGACTCTTCCATTGACAAAACGGTTCACTAGTCTGCATAAAAAACTAAGAAGCTTCAAGCACTTTACATTTTATTTGAACACTGATAATAGTTTTTACATTTAGAAACAGTGGGGCAAAATACTGTTTGAAAGGAAGGTGGGTTTTCTAGTGCAACACAGCACAGGCCCAAGCCTGTATTGATTAGTAATTGACAGTGTGATTAGAATTGATTACTAGAAAATTATGGTTCAGTACAATATACCTTTTTAGCAAAACACGTATTTATATATTCTTCTCGCAGAGATATAGTGCAAGACTAACTCAATTTCTTGGGGTGCTCAGCACCCCTTAAAAGAGATAAAACTTACAGAGAAAGATCCTTTGACTTAACAGAGTGCTTAAGAGTGCTTGACTTAACTCTTAAGCCAAGAGTTAAGATCAAAATATATTATCAACAAGCCACCTGTTTTAGTTTAATAAAAAGCTTTCAAAATATCAGCAAATGTCAATAATCAAATAACAGGTACAGGTCTTTTACAGAAAAGAGAAATGCAATGTAGGACTTGTGTTCAAACTTGTCTTTCAAGTACGGAGAGCTTGCCTGTTTGTTCGGTGGGTGTGGCAGTCATACTTCAGTTCTGAACTTGCCAAATTCCCCTACAGCAGCATCAAAACAAGCCTCAAAATCATCAGAAGGCTGCAAAGAAACACACACAAAAAAAAAACAAACCAAACCTTAAAAACCCCCAAGACAATAAACCCCATAAATATAGTTGTGCATGAACAAAACCAGTGAAAGTCATCATTGAATAACAGCACATTCATAAATACCTGACAGTAGAGCCTCTAGTAAGCAACCTTTTAAAAGCTCTGCAGCCTCAGTGTCTGTTGAAACACACAGCCCACCTAGGCTTGAAAAGCAATCCAAAACGGAAATTTTCCAGTTTAAGTCCTGATTTTTAAATTTTGTGTCTTGACAATTTGCATCTGATTTTTTCCTCCCTGTATGTAATTGGAGTAAAACTGTTAATGGTGTTATATTAAATGTAGTAACAACAAAGCAACAGTTATTACCCCTTCAGAAGGTGAAAGATTCTGACACACAGTTGAAAAATGCTTTCAGTTACAGACTAACTGGGAAAAAAGTCGAAAGTGTTGGTCTTTTCTAAGATGACTGTGTTGTATGAAAGCTGATGACTAATTTTATGCATTTGCGTTTGAAAACACTGAGGCTTACCTCAGGTTCTTCTAAGAACCTTATCAATATGCATTAACACTTAACTGCAGATCTCTCCTTTCTGTGCTGAGAAAGTCAGTCCATGTCAGATGTATCCGCCTAGTGAGATGAAAAAGCTGTTCACTGGAAACAGGACTGTGACCTCCAAACTAATTTCACTTAAATCATATAGTTGCTGGATGATCATAACTTCCACTGATACTGGTGTGAATCATATGTCACATGGCAACTACTTGAAAATCAGTGAAATCTTTACATTAAAATCCTCAATATATGTTTACCTCAGGCATGCTACTAGTCCGGCTGGCATTAATTTCTTGGACCTCTTGAACCTCATTCCCATTATAATGGTCAAAAGAAAAGATGAAACTGTAAAAGACAATTCAATATATTTATGTTCTCACTTCTTCCAGTGGACCATTCAGGAACATGGAGAGTTATCAAAGGTCATTGCTGTGTTTTGCTATGAACTGTAATTTAATAAAACAACAGATCAGAGGTAGGGTCTATAAAAACGTTCTTGCTTTTCCAAAATAGACTGCTATGATTTCTTTCAGCTACAAGTAAGGTTTCCACACACAGCAGAATGCTAAATCCTACTATGTTCTATAGATACTAAGATAGATACTTAGTAAGTATTCCATAGATACTAAGTCAGTCTGTCAGACAATGAATTCTACTTCCCTGTCTTCACGGGGATACAAATAAATAGGAAGAATCTTCATTGCAACAGTAACATGTATGCTGAATTACAGGAATAGCGTCTTATAAATCCCAGCACCCTAGATCATTGCAGCTGATTTCTAAATGTTCAAGGAGCTAGAGCATCCAACTTTATCTGTTTTGGTTTTAGAATGCTAGCTCTTCATTTGCTGAGCCTTAAAAACTAGACTGGAAGGATTGCCACTTGTTTTGGGTACAGAATATGGTTATCAGCGTCTCCTTCATCATGACCACAAGTTCACTTATTTCCTACAAGGGAGCCATCCTTATCTGTGACAAGAGGTTGGCAGCCCAAGAGGGCAACAAATGCAGTGCCAGCAGCAGAGAACAAATGTCATGGAAGGAACTGAATCTTCATCCTGGAGTAGTTTTACCTAGAAACGGAGGTAGCAGTGATCAAGCATGGGGATTTCATATCAACCTATGGCTGCAGAGTGCGACAGAAAGGAGGAGACCAATGAGAACACTGCAAAGACAGCTGGCTTTGTTAAAGCAGCATCACCTGAAATGCTTCCTAGAAGTGGGCAGAGAGACAGAACTTCTCATGGGCAACTGGGCTCTTGCAGCCAAAGAAATGTCAGTTACATAAATCTCTTCCTTTATTTCTTTTTTTTTTTTTTTTTTTTTAGTAGAATAGTTAAAACCACCTGGGTAATTCTCAGCAAACTCTGTGCACAGTCCTGTGCTCACAGGTGTCAGGAATTAGTTTTAAACTCCTTCCAGCATTATAAAACAAGCTCTGACAGTTACAAGCATTTTACAAAACTCTATCAGCTATGAGTGTGTGCTCATTAAAAATACCCTGCAAAAAATCTATTATGCTCCATTATCCATTGCTTTTATTTTCTGGTCCTATACCCTTGATCCTCTCAGGAATGTCTGAAGAGTGGACTATCCCACCGTATGCATTTTTCCAGAGCCCTGATGATATTTGCAGTTAATTGCAGGCTACAGAGCTTATTCACTCTATAATGTTCTTTTTTCTGGTTACCGGTATCTGGCTTTTCACACGTGCCAGTGTTTTCAAGTCATTCAACTTTTAGACCTGATTTTCAGAAGTGCTAAATATTCACTATTCCTCCTTAAATCAGCCAACAAAATTCAATAAACCAAGCCAAATTCAATTCAGTAAATTAGATTCAGATCAGAAATTCAATAAATTAGATGCATCAGCTTGCACTCTGAATAGCACAAACTGTGGCATACTGAAGTCTGAATTTCTACACCTACTTCAAACACATAAAATTGCATTAAAGTATTCAAGAAAGCACAAAGTTAATTTCGGGGGGAGTGAGAAAATGCCTGAAAGAATAAGATATAAAACAACCGAGAAAATTTGCCTGGGTATCTGTATGCTACATACTCTTTGTATATAGGACAAGTTACAAGAATCCTACTATCAAGGTCTCATACTAAACCATTACCTACGTTATTGTAGGAGACTCTTGCATAAGTGATAAATACTACAGATAATTATGGGCTTGGAGGCGGATTTTATTTTCTCCCTAAGCTTTTAACAGTTTGGGTACTTGTTTCATTTTACATTGCAATTTACTTTACTGGTTTCTAAGTTCAGAGCAGACACTTTCTTCCATGCACTTAATTTCCTTCCATTTGTGCTCTAGTTGCTTTTGGCACTTTGGGAGGTTTGGCATAAGAAAACATTCTGATTTTCTACAAAAGCAATACAGGGTTTTTGTTTTGTTTTGTTTTTTTTACAGAAAGCCCTTATTATCCTGAAACTAGCAGATACAGTAGCCACCAAAGGTTTTTAAGGTGTGGAACTGCAGATGTTTTTGAGCATGTTTAACTCTCCCTTCCTCTGAAGTCTTCCTACTGACTTCTTTATTCATTTGTGATATCTATGCATATGAAAACCAGAAGACGCCCTCTCCCAGACTTGAGATACATCAACCTGGAAGAGATTAAAACCAGCTTGAATGGTTGGCCCTGGCAGAGTACTTTGTATGAATACTTCTTAACTCACTTCAGGCAAAAATTACCACACATAGCTCAGACCACCTTCTTTGTTTTATTCAGCACAGGTGGATCTTGAAGAGACCACCCATTCACAGCCAAGGTGAAATATAAGTTTAGGTTTTAAGCAATTAGAAAATTACTTTATAATCATTCTAAACTAAGACTGCTTTAAGAAGTCTTTGTCCCTTTTATTCTACACATAAGAACTTTGTAAGTCAAGTATCGTGAACTTTTACCTGTATTGCTATAATTTCTATTAAATTAGTAATATACATTTCTCCAGTTGAAAGGAAGTCTTCACATGCCTACAGCTACGTGAAATGCGCAACACTGACAATACTTTACTATATCTGATGCTTGTATTAGTCCTTTCCAAACCAGGGAATTGGGAAACATGCAGCATTTAGTAAGTTTTAATTAGTATTCTCTTCCAGAAATTCTGTGTCCAGATTAGAAGTTTAATTAACCCATAAAAGTACAACACTGTATGCTACATATGCTACTTAAAATCATTCTGTGATTCTGTGATCAGGTATGCCATTGGCACCTTTACAAAAGAACTCGGTGGGAACACACTTTGCTAACAATTCTATTTGAGATTTTTTGAACTGGGAAGTTTTACAACTGTGGCTGGTGTACAACACAAAGCCAGCATGAACAGTATACTATAAATTCTAACTAAGTCCAGGAAAAGTGATTGTGCACTTGCATTATCTGGTTTAAATGTATTTTAAATGCATTCCTGCTTGTGAAACAACAGCCTAAGCCACTTTTGCTAAAATCATGAATAAGACAAGCTCCCAATAGCTCTTACTGCAAATCAGTTGTGTGAGGTTAATGTCCCCCTTAGAGATTGTAGTTTCTTGACCCCTTGAGGGTTTCACGGCAAACTAGGTAACATGACAATTACTGCATGGTTTGTATCCTGTATTTCTTAGCAGCAAATTAAAAACATTAAGTCAAACTCTTTCTGTCACTGGGAGCTGAGGATAAATAACATTGTGCAAGACTGATTCCTATACCTACTTTACTTCTCAAATTACATTCCAATCTGTAGTGCTAATGACTTTATTCTAGTATTTTCCCATGTTTCTTAGCTGGATTTCACACTATTTGCAATGTTAGGTAACCATCTAATAAAGCGAGGTGCTGCCAGGTGATAACACACACCTGCTGGCTTTGTGTGAATGATTGCCTTACCCTGCAAATGCTTCCACAGTTCAGCTCTTGAATTTTGCAGGTTAAGCGTCAAACTGTTTTAAAAGTAACATTTAAACTAAAGTAATACTCAGAGCTTGATAAAAGAGAATTTTACATCGAGTTCAGGAAACTTTTTTTTGGGGGGGATAGGGTTTTGTTTGTTTGTTTGTTTACTGTAGTAAAACACTTACACAGTGATACCTTCACATTTCTCGGGTCATGTGTTATGCAGTAAGCTCCATAACCAGCCACAGAACCAAAGGTCAGACCAGCAGCTAAAGAGATTTTACTACCTGCAAGAAACCATTGAAGTGTTATTTCTCAATGCAGCATCTTTAATCTCAGTCTTTTCACAGTTCTCTCTCTGCATAGTGTTATCCAAATATTTAAAAAACAGAACTGATTTTGCTACAGTGCAGCTAGCTCACCCAGTGTGAATAGAGAGGAAATATTTCCATAACTGGGTCATTCTCTTGCATGGCATTAGGGGCAAAACTGACTAAATTACAGGAAGACGATCAAGCGCTAGTAACACTTGCAGTTTAGGAAAAATAATCTTCAAAGCGCAAACCTAAATTTGGCTGTTTTCTCTATCATACATACCTTTAGATGCATTTTTTGTAATTTCTCTACACTGTCTGTTGTTTTTAACGAAGTTTTACAGCACTTGGGAGTCTCCAAAAATGGTAGAAGTGTCAATATATATAAAAGATAAATTGGACCACACATGTAGTCATAGGCCTTTCAGTCTGATATCAGTCCCTGACAAAGAAATGCTATTACCAACATCACAATTAAAAATTAAAAAACAAATAGATCACAATGAAGACGAAAATATGTATTTTCAAATAAACTTGACACCTTCTTTCAGTGCTATTACAAAACTGGTGCATAAAGCTCAGAGTTTCAGTAATATTTTTAGATTTCTGAATAGGCATTCGACTCTACCATAAGATAAAAGTGTAGAATCAGCACAGCAGGCGTTATCTGGATTAAGCTGATCCCCAAATCTTTATAAATAAAGAATCCAGACCCCCAGATGTCATTTAGCTCCCAGTGCTGTTATAGTGAATATTTTTAATCAAGACTTTGTAAGAAAACAGAAATTATTTCCATTAAAAAAAGTAATCTAGATTTGCCACAAGGACTAACCAACTATTAAAGAGTGAACAGAACAAGTGAATGGGATAGTCAGCGGGTACATCTGGGTACAAACCAGAAAGATAAAAAGCCACGTCTTTAAGGGCAAAGTACGTGCACGCTAAGCGGGGAAAACAGTGACTCTACATCACAGGAATCGGGATGGATGATAGCCACAGCGAAGACGACTGACGCGCTGCCGGGAGATCTCTGCACTATGGGAGAGACCACAGGGACGGACCAGCCTGGAGATCCCGCCTGCCCGTCCTCGGTACCACTGCGACCTCTGCCGGGATGCTCGGATCGAGCAGAGCTTGAAAGGGCTGCAAAACCGGCTGGAATATGGAAAATGCGCTTTATAGTGCATGATAACCTAAAACCTGTCTGATTATCTCAGAGTAAAAACGCACAATTCTGACAGTATGAGATAATTAACCACTAAACCAGAATACGCAAGTAAAGGGTTTTCTTTCCAGTGTGCATCTGGGAATCTCAGAATCAGGCCTGGATGCTTCCACAGAAAACAAGCTTTAACCAAAAATTATCCTGTGCTCAACACAGGGCTGATTAAAGGATATGAGAAGGCTCCATATATGCTGAAGGTCAAAGATAACATGAGAGCCCTTTCTGCCCTGAAAACAAACTCATCAGCTAGATTAATAGGAAAAAGTGACCATTTAAATGCTTATGTCGACCCAAATAAATCTCACAGACTCTGTTCATTTATAGCAGTGCAGGATGGATTTCAGATGCAGTTGTATTCATTATAGTAAAGTTTTCACATCTTGCATAATTTTTTTTTAACAATGTGCAGAGGATAAGAACCCCTAGTGCTTCATTTTCAAACCCTGCTGTCCCAGTATTTACCTTTCCGAGTGTACGCTACAACACCTCCAACAGCCAGCAATGCAGCATATGCAAAACCAATCCAGTCAATAGCCATGGTCCCAACTCTGGAAAAGAAAACACATTGTAAATGAAGACAAATTCTTCCCTCTTGTTAAAAAAAAAAATAATAAAAAAAAAAATCATGTTCTAAGTAACACTACAATCTCCTAAATCATGTTCAACTACTTTGTCAAAACATTGACGGGGTGTCTATTGGCTATTGTATCATTTTTTCACTAACTGCTGCCCCTACTTACACCTCAGTACAATGGTACACTGGATTTCCAGTAGGGGAAATTGGCATTTTGGGGACATATGTGGCATGCTTTTTCCCAATCAAACACACATGTATGCGAGCAAAAAGCTTGACGCCACCCCAAGCTTCTGTTGTGCTTGTGCTATATGGCTGATCTGGGCATACACTACGGATACACACAGGTCTTGTCAGTGCACAGCTTAGTGCCTTGACAAAAAGGCTCTACTTCAGGTACTTCAAGTGGAATGTGACAGGCCCAGCAACTCCAAGTAAAAATAGGAATTTTCAGAGTTTACCCAAAGCTTCCAGACAGGCCACCTGTGGGAAGCTGTACTTACAGAAGCCCCCTCCTCTCTCTGCCTGCGCTCCTTTTGTTTCACCTTGAGATTTTGATGCACTGTCCCAGTTTAGGCTTCTGTTCTCCAAAAAGCATTTTGGTTCCTGTTTTGACACTGATCTCTACTTCCCCAGCTGTGCTTTGTAAAAGCATGGGTGGCCAGACAGCCCCAGCAGCACCATGGCTTCTCTCCCACCAACCGGTGGGATACACCCTTCCCCTCCTTCCCCCAGATTAAGGGTATACTAATTAAATGCATCCTTCTTTTCACCTGAGTGGGTGTGTCCTTGATCACAGTGTTAAAGCGGTGGCAGGAAAGAACACACACTCATCATTTTACATCAATCCTTT